TAGGTATTAAAAGCAATTCTACTTTTATTAGGGTCACGATCCATACCTTGTTCTAAAAAGAACAGATTTCACTCAATTAAATTGAAGACGCAAAAGGGTTTAAACAAAATTTACAACAATGACACGAAACTGTCGAATTATCAATAACCTAACCTTCAAATTCAAAATCAAAATTCAAAATTGCCTGTGTGTGAACCTTCCTCCCATTCAACCAATCACGTGCAAGGTCAATCTGGTGACAAATTTAAAATACTCCTCCTGGTTTAAAAACAGAGTATAGTAACAAATTTAAAATCAATAAATAATTATTGACATATTAAACTGTCAATTTTGTATATTGCAATTTTGAAAACTATTATTTTATTCATATTCATATACGTAAAGTCTGTGATTTCGATTTATTTAAAACATTAATTATGGCCGACGACACAACTCAAAAAATCGATCCATTAAATTTTCATTCTTGCGATACTCCAAGAGGGATGTTGTATTACACAATGGAAGATTTAACGAAAAGTCAACAAATTAAATTAAACGATCTTAGGATAAAAACAGTTCGAGAAGATGAACAGTATTTAGCTGGACATCCCGAAGTATTTGTTATTCAATTAATTTATCTAATACATTTTTTTAACGTTACTTTGAAATTAGGTAAGAGCCTGTGTTGCTTTAATAACTCGATATGTTCTCCAACGATGTCCACGCAATAACATCCATGACGTAATCGCGCAATTTTTTTCAAGATCTAAAGTTGATATTCAGGAAGAAATTAATGAATATATTAAAAATAGAGGAGATCATATTTATGAGATGGATAGTGCTGTTGGTGTCTTTGGAAAACATATGTCATCGATGAATTCTTCATCATTTGAAGATATTGACAGCATAGAAACTACAGATGAATCAGTTTCTGATAGCTTAAAAAATATTGATGTTGATTTTGAACAATTAACAGCGCCAGTAAGAAATTTTTTAAATAATTTTAAAATTTAATTATAATTTTTATATTTAGCCTTCAGGTACATTGCTAAGTAGTATTTCTGAAATAACTGATGGTGGATGGCACGGTCAAGGTGGAGATGAAGATAAAGTCCAAAGCATAATTCACGCTCATCAAATGGAAGATATAATAGTATCAGATATTTTAAATAAGATATATTACGATGACGAAAAAGATCAAGATCATTCACAGATGTCCACTAAAGTCTCTTTTAGCCCTGTAGTTCACACTACCCATGATAAACCACTTCAAATAGTCGACAAACAAATCGTTCAACAAGCTGTTGAAAACATTATAACCGAAGCTGCCGTAGAAGCTGAAGCAACAACTGAACCAGTTGCTGAAGAAAATACGAATAAATCAAATGAAAATCAAGACCAAACAAATAATCAAGAAACAACTGAAAATACTCAAGAATAACATTTTTCTATATAACTTTTATTTAATGTAAAAATTTAAATTATCAGTAAAAATATAGAACCAATTTTAATGTAAATTTACAAAACGGTTACATTAAAGTGAAAATTAAAAAAAAAAGGGGCCGAGAATCTAAAACTCGATATAAATAAATAACAAAGAAACGATATAGGAGAATAATAACGAGGTTCTGTTCTGGTTAAATATTTTAACAGACGAGTTAACGGTTTTAAAATGTGAAACCGTCGCGATATAACCGTTCTTTGATGATGCGTGCCGCGTTAAATTCGTTTAAAACAGTTTTAAGAAAAGAAGAAGTAAGAAGGTAGCCGGAGAAAAAGAGAAGTGTGGGTAATTAGTCGAGATATTGGCGCCCCGTTAAGTTTCGTTTCGTTTCGTTATGCATCTCATGGAAGAAACCAACGAAGAAGAAGGAGAGATCGTATAAAACCGGCGAGGACGTGAAGAAGCTGTATCAGTAACTCTTGTCTACGTTAAAAAAAGTTTGTTAAACAACAATAACAAAAAAAATAAATTATTAAATTGTATTAGTTGTATGAGGTGAGTATATTTTTATTTTTAACAGTTTTTAATTTAAAGAAATTTTAATTATTTTTATTAAATTTAAAAATAACATAAATCGTTATTTTTTTAAAGCAAATAATAAAATAAATTGGTTTCTTAAATATTTATTTAAAAATTAGAAAAATTAAATTTGAACTCAGATGCGAGTTCGATGAATTCAAAAACCGTTAACAACACACAAGACGACCTCACATGACCCAAGAATGTTTCTTCAAGAATTCCCATAAATATGTTATTATACTTAATAATTATTCAATTAAAAAAAAAATTTGCATTATTTAAAAAGTTAAAAATAGAATTAAAATGCAACGAGTACTATTTGAAGTTTGATCTTGTATAAATTGTATCAAGGTTTGACCTAGAAAATCGATTTCATTCATAAACGCAATAATTGAATGAATCGAGTTCAATGTAAGTTTTTGTTTACTTTCAGTACGGATGTTTAAATTGTATTTATAGGTTAAATTGGAATTAAATTAAAAAATTGTTAAAATTAATGACGAAATTACAACGAAAATCATTCTTAATCTCCACGTTTATCTTAATTGGATCTTAATTTCTATAATTCGATTGAATTAATTCTAAGTAGTGTGGGTATATGATAGCACCGAATAAGAAAAGTTACTATAAAATATTAAATCTAAAACTGCTACATGTTGCTGCATCAATAGTATCTTTGTTTCCTTTGCTAATATTGCAACCATGCTTCTCTAAAGGTCTTACATTCTTCAAATCGACTTGTTATTGCAGATATGATAAATTGTATCTTAGCTTATTGCAAGAAGAAGCTGCCTACAACGAAACGCAAGATTGAATATGAAGGACCTCGAATCTTCAACTTTTAATTTTGACATATTTGTCAACTTCATAAAAAATCCTTTAAAATGAGTCCAAACTCGACGTATTCAACTTTAATATTAATGGAAATACAATCACTTCCGGTTTGAAACGTCAACGTCAATTTTGACATATTTGTCATCTTCATTAAAAAACCTTTAAAATGAGTCCAAAGATGACGCACTTATCTCAAAAAACAAAAAAGTTAGAAAAATAACATTAAACCCGAAGTTAGCAACAATGAAGATGGAAATTTAATTTTTAAATATTAATACCAACCTTAATTATTTTTTTTTTTTTATTATATTTTTATTTTTGTGACAAATATTAAGACATTTTATAAAAATTAAGAATATGTCAAAATGACATTGACATTTCAAACCGGAAGTTGCTTATATCTCGAGTAATATTGGAATTAAACGTATCATGTTTGGACTCATTTTAAAGGATTTTTCACGACGATTACAAATATGTCAAAATTGACGTTGACATTCTTAACCGGAAGTTGACCATAATTTCATTAATATTGAAGATAAATGTGCCGTGTTTGTACTCATTTTAAAGGATTTTTAATGATGATTACAAATATGTCAAAATTGAGGTTGACATTTTAAACCTGATGTTAGTTATCATGTAATTGAAGTTAATCTAGTGTTAGTCACTTTTCCGCACTTTCTTTTTAATTTTAACGTGTTTTTTTAACCCCTTTTTCACAACATTATTCATTTGTTGTCCAATTAGTCCAATTAATACAGGAAATTGTAGAAATGAACACACTCTAGGTAGATATCATCCCGTCTATAAGGGAGACAAATTAAACTGTAACAGCTACAGAGGCATCACACAGCTAAATACCACCTACAAAGTCTTGAACCTTACTCTAAATGAATCCTGGGAGAATATCAACGTGGATTTAGGCCAATTATTATAGATTATATCCAAAATATGCGGAATAAACAAGAAAAGTTCTTCAAATATAACATGGACCTGTAATCTATAACAACATTTACATCGATTTTAAACAGAACACATCTTTGATAATATAAATACATAAAAGATGCTGTCAGACACTATAAAATATGTATTACATATTCATTTAAGTTTGTATTGGACCAACAATTTTAACAGAAAATATTAAAATCGATTAGAGATTCGCAAAGTATAATATGTATTCGAAAATTACACATTAATTCCTTACAAAGACATATACTAGTTAATTCATTTATTGTAACAATTTTTTTTTAAATTTGACCTACAAACCTAACTCCATTCATAAACGAAATTAAAACATTCATTGTTTAATTTCACTCCGGATATTTAAACTTACTAAAAAAAAATAATATAAATATTTATAAACAACCCATTTCATGAATGAAATTAATCGAATTTCGTCTCCGGTATAAATTAGACACCAAAAATGAGTTGGTTATCATTCAAATTTATTCCTTACAGGAAATCGTAAAGATGTGGAAACCGATTTTACTTACACTTTTAATCGTGGGAATAGCCCAAAGTTTAAGTAGTGAAGATCGATTTTTAAAGAAATACGCTTTGATTAAGGTAAAAAAATTATTTTATACTAAATTTTATGATTAATTAAATTTTTTTGAATAGATTTTTGAAAGTTGTTTTGGACAAGAAGTAGTTAAAGATATCCGAAAAGAATTAAAAGCTGCGTGTGCGAAATGCGCAGCTTCGCCACCGATTAAAACATCACCCTTAGATTCTTCTTCAACTATAAAACCAACGAGTGGGACGAAAAATCAAATTAATCATAAAGTAAATGAAAATTCTGAAAATGCCATGCAAAATGCCATGTTTGCGAATCAACAAAGTTTTCCAACTGAACGACTTCATCAAGCTATTTTAGCTTTTAGACCAGTAAGTTTTATTAAATTAAAAACAATTTAATTTCAAATTTGTTTTTTTTAGAATTCTTTTCCACAACCAGCGTTTAGACCATATCCTGGATCGCAAGCTTCTTATTACCAAGCTTTTGCAAACCCAGCTCAAATGTTTTACGCGGGAAATTATCAACCATTTCCCACAGCTTATCCAGCAGCACCTTTTAATTATCCTTATAACCCTTATCTTGACACTACCAGAATGTCGGTAAGATAACAAATTAATTTAAATTTATATTAAATAGTAATTTTGATTTTTTTTTGTAGAGACACATCGATTTTAAAAGTCAATTAGAAACGCTTTCATCAAAAATGAACCCAAAAGTAAGCAACGTAACATGTGTAATGCAAGAATTGGGTTATTTGGATGAAAATCTTGAACCGAATTACGACAAAATCATTAAACGGATCGAAAATTTACCAGTTCCTAAAGAATTAAGGCAAGATATTCATGATGGAATAACTTATTGTCAACAATTTTCGGTAAGACATTTTAATTTTTTGAAATTTAAGTAATCTAATAATTTATCTTATAGCAATGCATTCCTGAACCCAAAAACACCGCCTCACCACTTTCAAGAGAACTCAGCAAACCAATGCTTTTCTTCAAATGTTACAAATACAAAAAATTAGAAGCTTGCGTTATGAAAGACGTCCGCGAAAAAATCACCAATTTAAACGACGACGATGATTTAGACGGAGATAACTCGAAACGGGAAGGAAAAAAATTAAAATTAGATGAAGACGATGGCGAGATTTCGTCGAATTTGTACGATTTTTTGTATGGAATTGATGGAGAAATCGATTTTAGCAATATTTTTTAAATTAACTTATTTATTCTTTAAGTTTTTGTTTTAAATACTTGAATTTCAACAATGGATTTAATTGTATTGTTGAAATTTGACTGATTGTATAAAATAATTTTGTTTGGATTGGGTTTAAGAAGTAATTCATTTAACGAATGTATATTGATTTATTATTAATTATTGTCTGATTCCAATAAGTATTATTATAACTTGTTTCTAGATTTTAAATACCAACGAAATTATATAGTTAAAAAATAAAATTATTAACATTTAAATGTATATCATTTCATTTTTGTCACACATTCTTATACATAGATATTTTTTAAATAATTATTAATAGTTATATACAGTAGACTTCCGTTAATCCGGCATCCAATAGGATTTAGGATCTTCTTTAAGATCGTTGGGATTTGCACGAGTTTGCCATTTTTTTATGCATAGCTTAATTATTTATTTATTAGCCACAAAAGGTCATCTTGGTAATGTACCTGCCCTATAACTTATCGTAGATCATAGCCAGTCTGGGAGGCGAGTCGTTGACTATTAAGGCGTTAAGAGGATGTCCCTAAGGGGGAGTGCTCTCACCTCTTCAAAATGGATTCATGATTCAGAAAGCCGTAGTACTAACCAGCACTTGGTGTAGAAGCAATGGACTCGGCATCAATCCAAACAAAATCGAAATACTCCTTTTCACACCACTTCATTTATATATACAAAAGGAGGCAACTTTAAGTGCCCTATCTCTGAAAACAGGCTCTTCACTCAAGCTCATGCAGGGTAACCTCAGACGACACCTCGAAATCCTCAAGGAACTATGTCTAAATCACTTGATTGAAATTAAAACGAACCTTATACCGACAGAATACAATTTCGACCAGCCGTATAAGGTTATATTTAGAAGCAGGGATGATTGGACGAAGGGTGGGCCTCAACTAAAAAGAGGAGCCCTCGCCAGGTACACGGATACTTCAAAAACAATTGGATCCACAGACATGGGCATTAGTAGACCAGCTCGAACATAACCATTTTTCAAGCAAAAATACGTGCTATAAACTTTTGCACCGCTTTGAACCTACAAAATGGACAGAAAGGTGTATCCATAAACATTTTCACAGACTATCTGGCCGCCCTAAAGGCAATTCAGGTTTACACGTGTGACTCCGCACTGATCAGTGTACCATCAACCTGAGAGACTTCGCTAGGAGTAATGATGTTACTCCATGGTGGGTTCTAGGTCACAGAAACATTGAGGGTAATGAGAAGCCGGCCAAGCTGGCTAAAGAGGCATTCATTGGACCCCAACCCGGTTATGGACTATCTAGTACTGAATAACAAATAAAACTAGACTAACCCTAGTACTAAGCCTAGAAACATATCGTTTAGCTATGCGTGTCTTAAGACGGTTAAACTTGAGTATTTCTAGTTCCAGGCGTTCCAGGTCTGATGTTAGTTCTAGTGACAATTAGCATTAGATATCACTATGTTGCGTATTTTTATTGAATTAAAACTAGAACTAACACTAGACATAGAACTAGAAACATTCGGGTGTAGCCGTCTTGAGAGACGCACGGCTAAACCCGAATGTTTCTAGTTCTAGGTCTAGTGTTAGTTCTAGTTTTAGTTGACTAAAAATATGTAAAAATATACTTTTAAACGTCAATTTGACAATTAAACGTCAACATCGTTAAAAAAAGTAGACATTAAAAAAACTCAAAAATCAGTTAATTTGATGAAAAAAGATCTTATTAAAAAATTAAAAGTAACGAAATACTATAAATCAAAAAAGTTATGAAAAAATTGGTAAGAAATCTTCGATATTCATCAAGATTTCCAAAAATTTAGGTTGGTATCATTTTAGGAAAATGGGTTGTAAATTTAAACGTCAAAATGACGTTTAACGTTACGATGACATTTTGTATGTCAAAATCATTTAAAAAATCAGAATTTAGTTTAAAAAAAGTAGATATTAAAAAAACTTAAAAATCAGTTAATTTCATGAAAAAAAATCTTATTACAATATTAAAAGTAGTGAAATACTATAAATTAAAAAAGTTATGAAAAAACTGGTAAGAAATATTCGACATTCATCAAAAGATTTCCAAAAATTTAGGTTGGTATCATTTTAGGAAAATGTGTTGTAAATTTAAACGTCAAAATGACGTTTAACGTTACGATGACATTTTGTATGTCAAAATCATTTAAAAAATCAGAATTTAGCATCAGTTTAATAAAAATATACAACAATCTAACGGTTTCTAGTTCTAGAGTAAAAGTTCTAGTTTTAGTTTTGACATCAAAACTAACACTAGAACTAGAAACATTCGGATTTAGCCGTACCTCTCTTTAGACGGCTAAACTCGAATGTTTCTAGTTCTAGTGTTAGTTCCATAAAAATATACAACCTAGCACTGAATCACAGCTAAAATTAAAACTATCATGAGCATTACTGGACCAAATAGCAGCTTTAAATTGCCCCTCAGCTTGGACATAACCATTTTCAAGCAGAAATGTTTGCTATAAACCTCTGCACCGATTTGAACATACAAAAGCGACAGAAAGGTGCATCCATAAACATTTTGACAAACAGTCGGGCCGCCTAAAGGCAATTCAGGCCTACACGTGTGACTCCGCACTGATCAAACAATACCAGCAACCTGAGAGAACTCGCTAGGGGCAACAATGTTACTCTATGGTGGATTCTAGGTCACAGAAACATTGAGAGCAATGAGAAGACAAACAAGCTGGCCAAAGAGGCAGCGAAAACGCCCCTCATTGGACCCCAACCTGGTTGTGGACTACAAAAAAAGACACCTAAAACAGGTAATCAACAGTTGGGAGAGCTCAAAGGTAGCCTTACGTTGGAAAGAACTTCTAGGTCACAGACAAGCGAAGAGCATGATAACTGCGTCGCAAAACAAAACCAAAGAGGTTTTATGCCTCAGCAAAGGAGATCTAAGGACGCTCTCAGGTTTCCTGACTCTGCAACGATGAGTCAGAAGTGGCTGAACATATACTGTGTAATTGCACAAGACCTTGGAGCAATACTAAGGACCTACATTTGCCCTAAACTGGAGGGCTAAAGTTACAATAGATCCTATAGGTCGCGGTGATGAGTGGGGCCACTCCCCTTAGTCTGGCAGCAATAATAATAATAATGACCTATCGTTTTAAAATCGTGGATGTCGCTCAATAATTCCAGTAATCCAACACCGGTCAAGAAACATGCCAGATTATTGAAAGTCTACTGTATTATTAAATAGTATTATTATTGTCATTTCTAATCACATCAATATTTTAATACTTATTCCTAATGAGACATTCACCAGTGCATTTTATACTATAAAGTTATTTAAACATTTTACTTTTTTATCTCAATTAAATTTAAATCCAAACTAGGTTTAAACAATAACAACTTGGCATATTTCTTCAATAACTTACTCCAATAACACTTAACATCGTTCATTTTTAAATGATTCCAAATTAATTTATGCCCATTTTCCGAAATTTCCCTTGCCAAATCCTCATTTTCCCTAAAAAACTCAATTAAATTCCAAATATCCTGTTTTGTAGCCGTCGTTTTAACCGGAACGTAATGAATCCAAGGCTTTAAAGCGGTATAAAAAAATTCCTGCCATTCATCACCTACATGAAAAACTAACGATTTGCATAAAAGGATGTGTTTAAAACGAAAACTTGCGGCTACGCCGCGAAAATTAAATAAATATTTATATTTGCAATGTTCTTCAAATGAAACTTCTTTTGCAGGGGGGGCGTGTAAAGTGTCACCTTCGGATTTCCAAGCTTGATTTTTTGTGTATTTCGCGTCGATTAATTCGGGATGTTCCCTTGATAATAAAATTAAAGGATCTCGTTCAGAACTTGTGCGAGAGCCTCTAAAAAATGCTTTTGGAATTTTGCTTTCCCAAGAAGTTTCATTTGCTGTTTTTGATAATTGTTCACGATGTAAATCCCATCTTCCTATAAATATAGTTTTAATAAAATGTTTTAATAAATTAAAAAAGTTTATTACCAATTCCTCTGGGGTATAATTCAATCGCAGGTCCTCCCTCCCAAAACGCCCAAGCTGGGTACATAATATCGTGATAATCATTGGTTTTACTAAAAGAAAATACTGGTCCAAAAACGCCATAATCTTTATGAATTTGTGGCCAATCTCTTGAATTTATTATAAATTCCATATCTGGTAAATGAGGTAATAAGTTCAATAAGAAATGTTCTATTCCCAAACATCTCGAAGGAAACATACAGTCTTTATCTCTATATAGTTTGTGATTAATTATTTGATATTTTGAGCCTCTGAAATAAAAACAATTTAACTCAACAATCTAATCAATCAAATTTGTATTAATTTACTTTGATTTAACTCTCTCAATATCATTTTTGGTTATTCCAGAAGTAAAAGCTTTGAGATCATTATTTATCACATTTGAGTAACATTTACATTTATCAGTTTCGCATGGTGTATATTTCTTCTTCGCTTCGCTTATTTCTTCGAAATATTTTTTGTAATTTTGATTTATTTCTATTAAAATGTCAAATTTAAATTTCCCGCCAAATTAAAAACGTATAGGTTAGATTACCTTTGTTGTACTTATTTTCGTTTTTTAACAAATTACAATTACTCTTATTAGACTTAGAACAAGTATCACTTGAACACGCGACTAAGTTTATAAAAACAACAAAGAAAATATACAAAAAAGACTTAAAATACATTTTTTTTTTAATGTTTTGTGTACCAACAACTACAGGGATTTAAAGCGACATCTAATTTTGACGGATGAAATTAAATTCAAACAATTAAGTACTTTTAATTAGAATTAATTTTAATATAAATTTGTTAACCCTTTTAAAAAGTTTTATGAAAATTACAAAGTAAATAGATTAAGAAATACTTAAAATGTACATATTTTAATTAAAATATGAGCGACATCTACTTTGAGCAGGTAAAATTAAATTCAAAAACTTGACAGGTTTTAGGTTATTGGGGTTATGTTAAAATTTGGTTTATTTTAGTTACTGCTAAAATGAAGTTTAGGTGTAAAGTTACCGATGGTGTAGCAATGAAAGAACTCTCAAATATAACCACAGGAATCTCAAAGTTATCAAAAGAATGTGTGTTAAGAATAGTCCCAAGAAAACTTTGTATAATAATCTCCAACGATGATAAAGGTCCAAAAAAGCCTTTTGTATGGTGCGAACTACCAGTAAATTTTTATTTTAAAGAATTCAATATGTTTGGAGTAGCTGAAGAAAGTAACGAAATCTATTTATCCGTTTCAACTGCGATGTTGGCCAGATGTTTAAATGTACTCAAACAAAACGTGGTTTTCATCAAAATAAAACTAACAAACAAACAAACACCCTGTTTAACGATTGAAATAGAACAAAATACAGAGAGTACCAGAAGTATTCAACGTGTACATGATATTCCAGTTGAAATAATATTAAAACAATATTGGCAAGATTACGCCGAACCTGTGTTTAATGACTTCCATGTTTCTATTGAAATGCCAAATTTACGATTGGTTAAAACCATTGTTGAAAGCATGAAAAGTATGAATCCAACTATCAATGTCTCTGCTAATAAATATGGAAGATTAAGTTTACAAATAAAAACAAATACAGTTAGTTTATCAGCACATTATCCAGATTTAAGTGTTCAATCTTTTGCAGTTGGATCAACATTTTTACATGATGATGGTGATAATGAGGAGGAGTTATTTGAAACTGTTTCTGCTACAGTTGATGTTAAAAAATTCTTAATGTTTTTAACAGGAATGCAATTACATAATGCAAGAACTATTTGTAGTATTGTACATAATAGAATGGTTAAGTTTTATTTAGAACAAAATGGTAGCTTATCATTACAATATTATTTAACACAAGTTTCGTTATAGTTAAAAAAATTTATATTATTATATAAATTAATAATATTTTCGTTGTAATAGTTATTTATTAAAATGATTAAATTTTTAAGTACCAATATTTGTATGTTTGGTTGCCTAATATAAGTGTTTTATATTTTTATAACTGTTTTAAATAATAATAATAAACGCCTTTATTAAACGCTATCATAATACAAAAATGAAGCAAAATAAATATTTATCAATAGGGCGAGATATTAAATGTAACAAAACAAATAAATTTAAATTGATATAAGAAAAAATAAATGAAGTAATAAATTTTTACAAAACTTAAAATTATAACCCGATGTTCGCAAACAGCAACAATTTAGCATCTACCCCCGAGATCACACTGGTGTTAAAACAATAACTGGAATGAACATTTTATGGAACCAGTTCAAGTTGGCGACATTTTATTAATTTCTTTAATCTTCTAAACGCCTTAAATTTAGCGTACTGTTGTTCGTACCTTTCGTGGGACTTCTCTGGAAGTACTGTTTTAATAGAACTCTGAGCAATTTCTCTTATTTCGGGAGGTGTACATGAAATATTTTTTCAGGTGAATTCATTTTGGATTTTGACAATTTGTAACTGTCAATTCAAATTTCTATTTTCAAGTGTTATAGTGTTACCAACTGCTACATATTTCCTTACATTGTCAAAATTTATTTTATTTTTGTTATACAGGGTGATTCACATAAGAACCAACACAGAGCAGGGACATGTAGAGGACAATAAATTAAGATGATTTAACGCAATTTATCTCTATACTAAATTGTACCCCTGAGGAGTTATAGGCCTTCAAAGTTGGGTCTTAAATTTTTAAATCATTGAATATCTTCGTAATACATTAAGCTAGAAAAACCAAATTTGGTATACGTTATGAGTGTACTGAAGGTATTAATTGGTAGCAAATTGAAACCAATTATGGCATTTCAAAGGGTTGATTAAGGGTGATGGTCTCTTAAATTTTGACAGATTTTTTTAACCTTTTGGTGGATTTAACACATTATTACCTGATTTCATGTGGAATTTAATTCTAAAACTTTTTCTACTCTTATTATTTTTTAAAAAACATTGTCGTTTTCATAAAAAACTCAAATAACTAAAGACACGTATTTCGTTAATGCTACTTAAAATCATCGAAAATTCAGTAGTCGGCTGTGAAATTGTACGTCAAACTTGACAAATAGGTTATAAAACCTTGTTGTCAAATAATTTTATAACCTATTTGTCAAGTTTGACGTACAATTTNATTTAAAAAAACGAAAATTGTGATAATATCTCAAAATCTAAAACCGAAAAAATTTTTTTGACTACTTCATCCAATTCTCTGTAAAAAAGTGTCCATATAATGTCTTAGTTATAATACTCCACCTATAATAATAACGAAGATAATTGCACTTGCTGGTTTTACGATATTTCCAATTTTGGCCTCTAGGGGAAAAACAAAAGACGATAGCGCTATGAGGTTTTCGGCATTAGCAGTTTCTCGAAAAACGAGATCATGACATGTAAGCTACTTTTTTTCTAACTCTTATAGTTTCCGAGTTAGCCTATTCGGACATCGAATTTGAACCACCCTGTACATGAAATATTTTTTCAGGTGAATTAATTTTGGATTTTGACAATTTGTAACTGTCAATTCAAATTTCTATTTTGAAGTGTTATAGTGTTACCAACTGCTACATACCTATTTCCTTACATTGTCAAAATTTATTTTATTTTTGTTGTAAATTGCACAAGGGCTTGAAGTTTGGTAATTTTGAGCTATTTTAAGTACTGTTCATTATTTTTTAAACCCGGTTTTAGATAGAGAAAGAATCAAGTTTTCAAATGGTGCATTTAGTTTTTCGCTATCTCCAATAATAAGGAATATATCAGCTAAGAAATCATATTTTGAACACTAGTAGGAACATAATAATGGACAGATACTTCACATTAGTCCTTTGGCCCTAGATTTACTAGTCAAGAGAACGACATGGTTGAAATTTTTGTATACACAAAAAAAAGGCCAGTGCACAATAGTAAGGTTGCGTTCTTGAAAACAGCAGTTCAAAAAAATCAACGTGTTTAAAAATAGAATTTTTATTAATTAATTATAATCTAATTTCAGTACGTCTCTACAACTCGAGACTGAAACGAACAAATACTAGAATACATTTTTTTTTAAATAGTCGGTTACTTATGTTTTAATTCTACAATAAAGTTTATTTTTTTACGTATTTAACATTCAGGGAGTTACAATTAAAAAATAAATTACAATTTGTATAATTATTTAAATAAACAAGACGACGAAAAAGATTTATTTTATTTAAAAAAAGTAAAAATCGATCGATTAAAAAAAAATAAACACTGTTGAGAAAAACTATGTACAAAATAAAAATTAGTGTTAAAATTTTCTTAACTAATCGATAGATTTTTTTCTTGGGGACGATGATATCATATTGTGGTCCTTTTTTTTGTGGGGTTGTTGCATCACAATCATTTATAAAAGAACTGTGCTACAACGCGGTTAAAACCTAAAAATCCAACGATCTCTTCTTAAATCGTATCACGATGCAAGAAATCTCCTCAATAAATCGACGACGAAAACTGTTGCGATCGTTGTTAATGATGGCAAAAATCGCGTGGAGGAACTCCTTCCCAAACCAACAGAGGCTTCGCTTGATGTATCAGAATTGTCTTCGACTGAATCACACAAAATTTTATTAGTATAACGATAAGTTTAGCTTTAAGTGTGCAAAAAAGTTGTATACAAAATTATAAATTTTTTTTAACAAAATGTGATTTTTTTAAGACGAAAAGGCAAACATAGTTTTTTTAGCATGCGAAACAATAATTAAAAAAAGTTAAATTAGCTTTATAAATAGAACAATAAAATTAAAACAAAATAAAATAAAATCTTGTTCTATTTATAATTCTATTCTTAGTAAGATTTTCTTATTGTGAAATGATAACATAAAATGAGTGGACGGCACATACTTATAAAACGGACAGATATGTGTAGCTGCGACGTCAGAATCTGTCCGGTTGTCTGAAGAACCTTGGCATATCAGACTTGTTGAGGGAATCAAACAATTGTTGACGTATCTTACGAATGACTATATCGAAAAACAAAATGCTAATAATAACCAGCAACGAATTCGAAAACTAATTTTACAAAACCAAAAATTAAATAAATTATAATAACAAAATATCATTAAAACAAGCTTTCAAGGGAAAATAAAGCTGTCGTGCTTTTTGTGGCATGCAACACTTTGAAACTAAACTACTTATAAAATAGATACATAAAATAAAATTGTGCTCACAAAGCCGTAAATAACAGTAATTCAATTAATTCAATAATTGGATTTTTTTATAGCTGCATTTAAACATCAATTTATCAGAATAAATTTAATTAAATCGACCGCAAGCAACTTTGGGCCAAGTATCATGGATGATGTTTATAACATTAAGGAAGATTTGATCAAATGATGGAGTTATGATGGGTTATTAGATTTTGTTGAAAAAAATAATGTTGGGGAAGATGTTGAGATATGTTGGAGATGACAATTATTAGAGAATTGGTTGGCCTATCAATTTGCATCAATTTTGAGAAATATCTTAAAATAGATTTGAAATTTTTTTTACATAATTTCTACGTATTATTTGTAATGTTGAATAAATCGAATTAAATGAACAATTTTTTCTGGAAAATTTCATTCCTAGACTGTTGTGGTTAATTTAAATTTGATAAAAATGCAAATTTCCCAATTATTTTGAATTACTATATCAATACGAACATATTACAAAAGAAGAATTATGTCTAAACAAATCTACCAAATAAATCTAAAAAAAAAATTCGTGCTGTCGCATAAATATACATTTAACAAATAACAATCTCAACAAAAAGCTGGTGCTACATGCAAACTAAAGTACAAACACAAAAAACGTGTATATAATAATAATAAAAAGTCATGCTTTGGTTCTCTTTGCATGCGCATACGTACTGTTGAAAGGGAACGATGACGTCGTCATTCAGCAGATTCGTTATTTTCAAATTTGAAATCATAACAAAAATTTCAAACTTAAAATAAAAATGGTTTTAAATTAAATGAGATTCCAGTTTTTAACACGATGCTCAGGTAGGAAGGCATTAAGTAATAAAAGCAACACTTTTGTATGAAAAAAAAAAGACTTGATAGATGCAAGCAAAGGATAGTTTATAGATTTGTTTTTTTGGAGAGATAAAAAAAAATAAAATGATGATATTGAATCATCAGACGTCATTCCTACCTGCATCGAATGAATCGTAGCCGTCATCGTCCCCTTCATGTAGCCCTTCTTTGTATATTGGTGTACCTATGGTTCCTGTAGGTGCCGATTGACACCCGAACCAATAATAAGCTGCTGATCTTGGGAAAGCTGGAGTTGCTGCATCCACGGCAAACGCGCGATCGTTGAATCTATAATAAGCTCCATTTTTGTAGAAGTACGTGTAACCGTTTGAGTATTGGAAAGCATCGTCGAGATTATTTGGTATTCCCTCCCAATTTGAAATTGGTTTTGGATAGGTACTTTTTACTGGTGGGCGTTGCATTGGATCGAAACGCCAAAATTTACTACCTAAAATAAAATAATTCTATATTGAACAAAAAAAAAATAAATATGTACCTTTGAAGAAATAAATTTTTCCATTTCCACTCCAAACCATAGCGGCATCAATATCATCGGGAATTCCAGCAAAACCAGACGATATATCTTTAGGATAATCCCCATCCATTCTTCGCCCATTATATCTCCAATATTTTGTACCCTTAAAGAAATAAGTTTTCCCATTTTTATAAGTAAAAGCTGAACTTATATCTCCAGGTAGCCCAGGCCATCCACTTGCGATTAATTTTGGATATCCAGGATCTATACTTTGATCGTTTAACCTCCAATATTGATTTCCTTTAAACACATAAGTATTTCCTTCGGCGCTTTGGAAAATTGCATCGATTTTTGGGTCTTTGCACAAAATTTGTTCGTCAGGTGAAATATTCGTTGGTGTACCCTCTTTGTCGTCTCTATCTACCGGTGGGGAAGCAGTCACAGTAGTTTTTCCACCATATAGTCTTTGAATTCCCGAAATATCATCGGAATCTAATACGAAATAAGGTTGATAACCTCGATAAAATGGTGCCATTAAAGCATTTTTTACATCAGTGTGACTTAAACCTAAAGAATGACCGATTTCATGAGCCGCTACTTGGAAAAGGTTGGTCCCACTGTATTTATTAATGGTCCATTGCTCAGCAGCATCAAAATGAACATCACCTCCAAAAACCTTAGATAAAACAAAAATTATTAGCCAAATAAATGGGTTATCTCCAAAAAAACTTGACCCAATGAGATAAAATTTCCCCAAGTTCAGATAGTTTAGAGTAAGATTATTTACTTACTGGAAAATAAGCGTGGGCTAAAGTTCCACCAGGACCATCGAAGGGATCCCCATCTCCATGCTCTCCCTTCTCAAATTTAATTTCAATGTTTACCGAACCCCTTCTCATTTGCTTAAATGTCAAGTCTGTGTGATCGGACCAAACGTCAAAGGCTCTTTGTATCTCATTATCGACCTCATCTTTAGGTACATTTACTGGATACTTGGTTATTCTATAAGATAAATTTCTTATCTTCCATCTACTCCCTAAAAAATATAAAAAATAAAAATTTATTGAATCATTTTTCACTGAATGAAAGGTAAAATAAAAAAGTATTGTACATGTTTAACTGTCAGAATCATAAAATTAATTGGGAAACGGCTAACAATGAGCGGCTATTAATTAACTCCTCTAAAAAAAATTGAATCGATTGGAAGAGAATAGAAAAAAAAAACAGTGAATCCGGAAATGAAGCACGAATGTGAAATGAATCAAGCGTTTGAAAAATTCAAAAATTGCCCTTTAATGTCAACTAGGTATTTCACCGGGAGTAATTACGGAAGTACATCGATCGCAGTTGTTAGTCATATCAGAGAGTTGATAGACATTGACCAAATGTTAAAACCAATGTCACCACTTCACATGAATGAGAACGCAATGTCCATTTCAATTTTGTATCTCTTTTCCTATTTATTTCCGGACAGATTTTATTATTTATGTGTTAGTTAAAACATAAAAAACTGTTAAATTAAAAACAACATGATTTCATTTAAAAATAACTTCCGGAATAATTTGATGTTTATCTATGATAAAAATACAAGTTTAATAATATCGGTTTTTGCATATTTTTGGTGCTAATTAGCAGGGCACGGAACTTTTGTAACAAAACGATTTCCCCCCTCCACTCGTTCTCAGAAAATCTTGATTAAAAGAATACCATACTGTTCAGTGGGAAATTAAAATTTCAAGTAAGAAAAAAATTGTGTTACCAAAAATTGTTCCTGAAACAATTCTAAACAAACTTTGTCAACAACTTTTTTTGATTTAATCAATAATTAAGGAGATAACCTCAAAATAATAATTTTTAAATTTTTATACATAATTACACTTAGATGGTTAATTAATAGAGATGTAAAAATTTTTTATTAAGATAATTGATTCAAAATCGAAATTGAAACAAATTTTATTTAAAACATTTTTTAATAAAAACAATAATTGTTGAGATAATTAATTTTGATAGCATACTATTCAGAGGGAAATTAAAATTTCAAGTTAGCAAAAAATTGTATTAACAAACACTGTTCCTGAAGTAATTCTAAACAAATTTTGTTAACAACATTTTTTGATTAAATCAACAATAAGGATATAACCTCAAAAATATTAATTTTTGTAGCATACTGTTCAGTGGGAAATTAAAATTTCAAGTTAGAAAAAAATTGTGTTAACAAAAATTGTTCCTGAAACAATTCTAAACAAACTTTGTCAACAATTTTTTTTGATTTAATCAATAATTAAGGAGATAACCTCAAAATAATAATTTTTCCGTTTTTATACATAATTATACTTAGATGCTTAATTAATAGAGATGTAAAAATTTTTTATTAAGATAATTGATTCAAAATCGAAATTGAAACAAATTTTATTTAAAACATTTTTTGATAAAAACAATAATTATTGAGATAATTAATTTTGATAGCATACTATTCAGAGGGAAATTAAAATTTCAAGTTAGCAAAAAATTGTATTAACAAACACTGTTCCTGAAGTAATTCTAAACAAATTTTGTTAACAACATTTTTTGATTAAATCAACAATAAGGATATAACCTCAAAAATATTAATTTTTGTAGCATACTGTTCAGTGGGAAATTAAAATTTCAAGTTAGAAAAAAATTGTGTTAACAAAAATTGTTCCTGAAACAATTCTAAACAAACTTTGTCAACAATTTTTTTTGATTTAATCAATAATTAAGGAGATAACCTCAAAATAATAATTTTTCCGTTTTTATACATAATTATACTTAGATGCTTAATTAATAGAGATGTAAAATTTTTTTATTAAGATAATTGATTCAAAATCGAAATTGAAACAAATTTTATTTAAAACATTTTTTAATAAAAACAATAATTGTTGAGATAATTAATTTTGATAGCATACTATTCAGAGGGAAATTAAAATTTCAAGTTAGCAAAAAATTGTATTAACAAACACTGTTCCTGAAGTAATTCTAAACAAATATTGTTAATAAAAATTTTTGATTTGATCAATAATTAAGAACATAATCTCAAAAAAATTTTTATATATATATTTTTATATATATTTTTTTTTGAGAAAATCGTTTTAGAATTTAATTTAGAACAACTTTTGTATGAAATTTTCTGCTGAGAACGAGTGGAGGGGGGAAATCGTATTGTTTTGTTACAAAAGTTGCGTGCCCTACTAATTAGACATTTTCAAAAATCTATTAAAGTTAAATTGCAAAAGTTAATGATAATAAGTTAAATAGTTGACTATATGATAGCTTCATATTGTATTAATAAAATTCTATTTTTAATTCTGCCAGCTATAATTGCTGGATATCTTTCTTCTACTTTTTATAAATCCTTAAGTTAACTTGGTTTTATAATTTTGTATATGAAGCAAGCTCCCATTATCAAATTTTATTGATTGTACATGAAAATGTCGCATTTTTATCTTAATACTGATGGTTATGCAAAATTCTTTCAAAATAATTTTCTTGAAGTCTAAATGATTTGCAAAACCGATTACAAACAACAATATGGTTTCTACAAAATCGTGCATCATCGCTTAATGCACGAGTAACGATGGAGTACTTGAACCGAACATTTCCAGCAAGGTGGACTGGTACAAATAGTTCTATTAGATGGTTTCCGAGATCTCCAGGTTTGAACTTTCCTTTTAGATTGATTTGTAAGCAAAAATTTATGCGGGTTTCAATAAAATTAATCGCCCCACATTACGTAAAGAGTGATTGTGAATTTAAACTTTACAAAAATTTAATGAAGACGATTTTTTACCTTGCAAAGCGTATCTTTTTGATCGAGAATCACTTCCAGATCCAACTTTATCTTTGACACCACATCTAGGTAATTTCATCACAGATTCAGTTTCTTCGTCCATTTCACCTATAAATCAAAGAAAATTAATAATAAACATAGTTAATAATAATAATAATAAAAATAGAAAACTAATCAAGAATCTAAAAATGTTTTTAAGTAGATAAAAAAATAAATATTTGTTTTACCTGTTACTGCAAGTCCCGCAAAGCTTTGAAATTCTTCTATGGCTTGTTTTAATATCGATCCGTCTAGTAACCTACTAGAATTCATAAGATTCCCGCTAGATACGTATCCGTATTGAGAAAGGTAAACCTGAAAAAGAAAAAGGAAACGTTTTAATCAATAACTACAGAAAGAAGACACATTAAAAAGAACGTTTATTTATCAAACATAAATATTGTAGCGGGGTTATTTAAATATTGAAATATCTCGTAAAGGAAAATGAACTTGTTGAACTTCTTTCCAGAGCCTTGAGCATAAAGGAATCGAATCGATAGGTCATGACTCAGACACGAATACCTTTAGACACAGAGAACACAAGGTGGTTTTATTATTAGTGTTAGTCACGTTAAATTCGACGAATTCGTTTATTGGTTAATACTTAGTAGTTAATTGAATGAGCCATTCATTGATTCAACTCAAAATTTATAGCATACGTTTTCTAAGTTATTTTTAAAGTAAATGATGTTATCTTATATTGCGAAGAAAATCAATATTTGTTAATACTCGCTTTTTATTTCATAAAAAATTTATATATATTTTGTCATTTTTCATATTCTGGATTAATTACTACTTAAAAATCAAAATTGAAACGTTAAGCTTCAACTCTACGAAAGCTTTAAATTTTAATAAAAGCACTATATGTATTTTAATGATGGAAGTTGGGTTGGATTAAATTCATGAGTGCATTGAAAGTAAAGTTTAAATCTGATTGAATTGTTTTAAATAATTTTAAATAAAATAAAACTTAAATAAAAAGTGTAACAATTAGATCAATTTAGAGATGATGTGATGGTTGTAAATTATTTAAAATATAATTATTTATAAACAAACATTGATAAGATAAATTTCATCTGGATTTTTTTTCTGTAAATAACATAAACTACAACCTTGCTTTATTTAAACATTATTACTCATCATTTTTTTTTCTCTCATCGAAATCTATTTAGTTGTTTATTATAGAAATATAAAAAAATTTGATGACGTAGAGGTTGAGATTGTTGAATTGACGAAATGTTTTCACGTATCATTGTTTGTGCACTTGACACCGGAGGTGAACGCACCTCTCTGCTGGATCTGGGTGTATTTGCATTCCATACAAATTTAGTTGGTCGTAAATATGAGAGTGGACCATCTGCTGCATATGCGATGGGGCTGGAGGAAAATGTTTTATGTTCGCGTACGCCAAAGGTGAATATTTAAAATAACGTTTTACAGCAGAAAATTATACCCACAAAAAAAAATCTTACTTATTGTTAGTATATAATGTATAATCAATGAGTCATCGCATGTCGAGTATCTTTATGACTAACACGACAATAGTTTTTAAATGAGTAAAAACAATTTTGATTAAAAGTTGTCGTGAAAAATGAACTCCCAATTGTACACTCTTCTACTTTATAAACTTTATATTCAAATTCACAACGCTTATTGTTAGTTTGTGGTTTCGAGCGCATTATCTTAACGAGTTTTGCCATCGTCGGAGGAGCGTTCAATCTGAATATCCTCCCGTATATTATCTCGGTTTCGTTGAGATAGAGAGAGATCGAGATAACTTTTGTCAAAGGTAACGGCGGAAACGTTCGCTAAATCATTACCATGACAACAAAACACTACACCGTGGGCAAGGAAATGCTCTCCTAACGTTTCCAACCCGAAATAACCAACAATCGACAAAATTGAGTCATGTAATGACTCTCTGTTAAGCTCGGACAAAGAACACCACAACTCATTGTGTACTTTTTATTTCACTTGCTGTTCACAAAAAAAAAATGAAAAGTGTTGGTTAAATTTCGAAATTTTCGAATCCATTTTATTATTTATTTTTGTTTAGACTATTATTTCCCAATTCAATCAGGACATGTTATCTCGATAACAATAAATGTTACTATTTGAATTTAGTTTTATTTAATTTTAAAATTTTATTTTTTAGTTTATTCAGTTAAAATGCAATATACAAAAATATATTTCCACATACTTACTTTGTCCCACATAAAATGCAACATGTCTGAATGTTTTTAGTTCTAGGTCTAATGTTAGTTCTAGTTTTAGTAGTTCCTCAAGTATCTGAGCCTATGATAAAAATGGGATAAGTTATAATGATTTAATACAAAAAATTAAACAATAATGTTCTTATAACAAATTTTAAGTTTAATAACTAATAACTTTACAGAGTTACAGTTATTTGATTGTTAAACGTCAATTTGACAACTAAACATCAATATCGTTATAATCCTAAAAAACTCAAAAATCCGTTAATTTAATTTAAAAAATCTTATGGAAATACTAAATTAACGAAATATATTACAACAAATCAAAAAAGTTATAGAAAAACTGGTATGAAATATTCGATATTCATCAAACATTTCTAAAAATTTAGGTTGGTACGATTTTAGGGATATGTGTTGTGGTTTTTAAATGTCAAAATGACGTTTAAACGTTAAGATGACATTTGTATGTCAAAATTATTAAAAAAATCAAAAAGGGTTATAAATAGAACAAGAAAAATAAAATATCGATAAGAAAGTTGGATGGAAAATGGAAAACTATAGCATTTATCAGAATGAAATAATGAACACCATTATTGCAAAATGATCTGTACATAAAAAATATTGTTTGACTTTTAAACGTCAACTTGACAATTAAACGTCAACATCGTTAAAGAAAGTAGATATTAAAAAAACTCAAAAATCAGTTAATTTGATGAAAACAATCTTTGTGAAATATTAAAAGTGGCGAAATATACTGATATATCATAAAAGTTATAAAAAATTGATAAGAAATATCAGACATTCATCAAAAGATTTCCAAAAATTTAGGTTGGTACCATTTCACGGATATGTATTGTGATTTGTAAACGTCGAAATGACGTTTAAACGTTAAGATGACATTTGAATGTCAATCATTCAAGAACTAGCATTAGAACTAACACTAGAACTAAAACGCGACTAGACCTAGACGCAAGGCTAAACCCGAATGATTCTTGTTCTAGTTTAGTGTTAGTTCTAGTTTTAGTAGTTCCTCAAGTATCTGAGCCGATGATAAAAATGGGATAAGTTATAATAATTTAATACAAAAAATTAAACAATAATGTTCTTATAACAAATTTTAAGTTTAATAACTAATAACTTTACAGTCACAGTTATTTGATGTTAAACGTCAATTTGACAATTAAACATCAATATCGTTAAAATCTAGATCTTAAAAAACTCAAAAATCCGTTAATTTAATTTAAAAAATCTTATGAAAATACTAAAATTAACGAAATACATTAAAATAAATCAAAAAAGTTATAGAAAAACTGGTATGAAATATTCGATATTCATCAAACATTTCTAAAAATTTAGGTTGGTACGATTTTAGGGATATGTGTTGTGGTTTTTAAATGTCAAAATGACGTTTAAACGTTAAGATGACATTTGTATGTCAAAATTATTAAAAAAATCAAAAAGGGTTATAAATAGAACAAGAAAAATAAAATATCGATAAGAAAGTTGGATGGAAAATGGAAAACTATAGCATTTATCAGAATGAAATAATGAACACCATTATTGCAAAATGATCTGTACATAAAAAATATTGTTTGACTTTTAAACGTCAACTTGACAATTAAACGTCAACATCGTTAAAGAAAGTAGATATTAAAAAAACTCAAAAATCAGTTAATTTGATGAAAACAATCTTTGTGAAATATTAAAAGTGGCGAAATATACTGATATATCATAAAAGTTATAAAAAATTGATAAGAAATATCAGACATTCATCAAAAGATTTCAAAAAATTTAGGTTGGTACCATTTCACGGATATGTATTGTGATTTGTAAACGTCGAAATGACGTTTAAACGTTAAGATAACATTTGAATGTCAATCATTCAAGAACTAGCATTAGAACTAACACTAGAACTAAAACGCGACTAAACCTAGACGCAAGGCTAAACCCGAATGATTCTTGTTCAAGTTTAGTGTTAGTTCTAGTTTTAGTAGTTCCTCAAGTATCTGAGCCTATGATAAAAATGGGATAAGTTATAATGATTTAATACAAAAAATTAAACAATAATGTTCTTATAACAAATTTTAAGTTTAATAACTAATAACTTTACAGAGTCACAGTTATTTGACTTTTAAACGTCAATTTGACAATTAAACATCAATATCGTTAAAATCTAGATCTTAAAAAACTCAAAAATCCGTTAATTTAATTTAAAAAATCTTATGGAAATATTAAAATTAACGAAATATATTACAATAAATCAAAAAAGTTATAGAAAAACTGGTATGAAATATTCGATATTCATCAAACATTTCTAAAAATTTAGGTTGGTACGATTTTAGGGACATGTGTTGTGGTTTTTAAATGTCAAAATGACGTTTAAACGTTAAGATGACATTTGTATGTCAAAACTATTAAAAAAAATCAAGAGGGGTTATAAATAGAACAAGAAAAATAAAATATCGATAAGAAAGTTGGATGGAAAATGGAAAACTATAGCATTTATCAGAATGAAATAATGAACACCATTATTGCAAAATGATCTGTACATAAAAAATATTGTTTGACTTTTAAACGTCAACTTGACAATTAAACGTCAACATCGTTAAAGAAAGTAGATATTAAAAAAACTCAAAAATCAGTTAATTTGATGAAAACAATCTTTGTGAAATATTAAAAGTGGCGAAATATACTGATATATCATAAAAGTTATAAAAAATTGATAAGAAATATCAGACATTCATCAAAAGATTCCCAAAAGTTTAGGTTGGTACCATTTCAGGGAAATGTATTGTGATTTGTAAACGTCGAAATGACGTTTGAATGTCAATTATTAAAAAAATCAATTTTGTCTAAATCATGTTTTGGCGATCGTTTCTACCAATATGCATTTTTGGTCCAAACCCGATACTTTCTAGTTCTATTCCCTAATTATATAGAATTTTGCATGTATGTAACCGATTTTGACGAATAATATCTGATGGAAAGCATCTAATTGTAATAACAAAAGTGTAAAAGAGCAATATTGTTAAAAAATAACTTTACTACAACTTTTATACAAAAACTTTTGTTCTAAAATGTTCCAATCTCGCGTATATTCGA